TGGTAATAAATAAATAAATAAAAAGTAAAAAAGAGTTGATTTAACATAGAACCTACCAAGTTATGAAAGGTATTCAAGAAAGCTTATATTTCAATTTGAAGAATATTTATTGACCATTAAGATGGCAAACAACTTTTTTTTTTGAAACAGATGTGTTTCTATCACGTATCATTTTCTTCACTTTTTAGACCCAAGTCAGTCATTTTAAAGATTTAGTTTATAGATAAAGGTGCTGAAGAAAAGGGTGGGGGAACATGGGGCCTATTAAATAATGTTCCTTTGGTTTTTCTAGTGGTCACTGAGAAATCTCAGAATTTCTTGTCTATGCCTCTTTCCAGTTCTTTTGGCCGCTGCTGCAGATTTCACAATTGGTACCACTCCGCCATACTTGGTCTTCCTGAAATCTGCTTACATGCCCTGTGCTGGAGCCCTGATCCACCCCCTCTGGGTGATTACAGCTGCACACTGCAACCTACCGTAAGTGATAAGCCCCCAAAGCCACCCTACTCTTTGGGTTCTCAGTTTGGACACAGACCCAGACCCCTGCTTGGGGCCATCTCCCAATTAAATGGGACTAGGAAGGCCTTCGGGGGATGTTCAGTGGTAGAGAAAAAACTCTATGGGAAGGACTAATAAAGACCCGTAAGGATAGAGAACCCCTCTCTGATAAGTCCTCTCATGAAGGTCCATTTTGTTCCAGGAAGCTTCAAGTGATGTTGGGAATTACAAACCCAGCAGACCCCTATGAAAAGAATATACAATTGGTTGGCTATGAGAAGATGATTCATCACCCATACTTCACAATCACTTCTATCGATCATGACATCATGTTAATCAAGCTGAATAGAAATATTGATCTCAATGACCATGTGAAACTGGTCAAGCTGCCTGACCAAACTGCCCCTGTGAATACCATGTGCACTGTTACCACCTGGGGCTACAACATCTGCGATTCCTGTGAGTTCAAGACATATGTGATATCTGCTGACTTTAAAACAACATTCTTCTCTCAGAATTAGACGGGCTTCCATAACTTCTCTGCTCTTGGCTTCTACAATTCTGCCCACTGAGGCTTTCTTCTAACCTCTTCATCCTTTCAATCTCATTCCCTTTCTCTGTACCTCACAGAGAAGTCCTTCAAGCTTTTTTTCACCACCATATCTCTCTGTCATCTTTCCTCTTACAGATGATAGAAGTGATTTTAGTAGAAGACATTTGTATTCTAGTCTTAATTTGCCGTGTGAGACAGGTTATTTTACCTTGAAGCTTCAATTTCCTTAACTCTAAAATTGGGCAGAACACTCTGCCAGATGTTTTCAAACTATTTCAGACAATAAAGCAACTGAACACCTTGAAATATTATGAGTATTAATCTCTTAAGCATAAGATAAATACATAATATTGTGCTAAATCAGACAGAACTTCCTTATGCAAGATTGTAATAAATATGTATAATTAAAAGCTTAAAAATTTTTCTGAAAGAAACATTTTCAACTGATAACATTCTAAACATTCACTGATTTCTTCAGAAAATTAGCAAAGGTCTACCATTAGTTTTATCAGTGGAAGTCTTCTACATGTAATTTGAAACTGCTGAACTAGATATTCTGCCTAAGTTTTCTTCTATGTCTCATATTTCAGACTCCATGAAATAACTCTGAGCAAGTTAAGACAGCTTTAGGTTTTCTAAGTCGTATCCCTGNACTCCATGAAATAACTCTGAGCAAGTTAAGACAGCTTTAGGTTTTCTAAGTCGTATCCCTGTCTGCCCAGCAGCCCATCGCAAAATTTTTATGCAAACTCTAATCAACTGTTTATAGCTGTTATTAAGATAGTAGTGAGTACTAAGACACGGGAATTGATTGCCGATAAGCAAACTAGAGCAATGGTACAGTCTTTTATGAAGAATTATTAATGGTACTTTACTCATGAGTAAGTTTATTTGAGTATATTTAATATATATCATACACTAGACACCATCGCATATAAAGGAGATTCATCAAATATGTATAATTAAAAGCTTAAAAATTTTTCTGAAAGAAACATTTTCAACTGATAACATTCTAAACATTCACTGATTTCTTCAGAAAATTAGCAAAGGTCTACCATTAGTTTTATCAGTGGAAGTCTTCTACATGTAATTTGAAACTGCTGAACTAGATATTCTGCCTAAGTTTTCTTCTATGTCTCATATTTCAGACTCCATGAAATAACTCTGAGCAAGTTAAGACAGCTTTAGGTTTTCTAAGTCGTATCCCTGGATGCCCAGCAGCCCATCGCAAAATTTTTATGCAAACTCTAATCAACTGTTTATAGCTGTTATTAAGACAGTAGTGAGTACTAAGACACGGGAATTGATTGCCGATAAGCAAACTAGAGCAATGGTATAGTCTTTTATGAAGAATTATTAATGGTACTTTACTTATAAGTAAGTTTATTTGAGTATATTTAATATATATCATACACTAGACACCATCGCATATAAAGGAGATTCATTTTAAACAAGCCGGTCAGATTACATTCATCCATCCATCTCTACTTTTCTTTTTGTAGAAGCCCAGGGGCGGCTATATACTTCCCCTAACAATGTTGCCTTTACTCAAACCTTTTTTAACTGCTCTCTAGTAAATGTCCTTAGGCCTTGGGACACATTTTCTTGAATATAACAAGAAGTAGAAAATCTTTGTCCTTTGAAAGTCAACTTGATTTTTAGAAATAGCCAAATGTTCTTCTGGTGAGCAGTGTGTTTGATTCATCTGGGTTATGCCACTGAAGTCAAAAAGAGATGTGACTATAAAAAAAAAAAAGCAGGTTATTTTGATCTGGTTAGGGAAGTAGCTGAGTAAGCATTCCCTAAAGAAGTATTTCCAAAAGAAATATTGAAAAATAAAATTGTTATTGGACTGGAAAATAAAGCAAAGGATCTCAAACATTTTCTTTTCAAGAATTAATATACTGGGCCGGCCCGGTGGCGCGCTGGATAAGTGCGCCGCTTGGGAAGCGCGGCGGCGCTCCCGCCCGAGGGTTCGGATCCCACATACAGACCGGTTCCCGCTCACTGGCTGAGCGAGGTGCGGGAGCAACACCGAGCGTTGCGGTCCCGTTGCCGGTCCCCGGTCC